GTTCTAAAGTCTTGACACACACACACACACACACACACACACTAATTTTCCTATCAAAATTTGCCACCTTGGCAAGAAAGCTTTGGTCTTGAGTCTCACTGTGACTTCAGTGAGCTTTACTGGATCTCATGTCATCCTCAGTGCCAAAGCTAACAAGTCCCCTCCGTCATCCAAGCAGCCTATGACACTCTGAATCACACAGGCTCATTCTCATTTTCTTATTTCTTTCCAAGCCAGCATCAGCGACTGATAAAGTGCAGTGCTTGAAGAGGCATAAACATGGATCAACATGGCAACCACATGATTCAGAGTTTCAGAAATGGCTCAGTGATGTAGAACAAAATAATGGGAGCACAACTTTTCAGTGTCTACCATGCCATTGGGGGAACATGATCACTATATTCAGCACAATTTTAATGGGCAGAAATTGCATATGGTACAACTGTTCCTTTGCTGCACTTTAGACTGAATGTGGAACACTGGACATCTTTACATGAAGATGTGTATATGAAGTCATTCTTGCTATATCAGTTTTCTGTATACAGATGATGATGATGATGACGATGACAAGGAAGCATTCTAATATGCAGTGACCTACCTTCCAGGCTGATAAGCTGCAGTTCAAAAAGACTCTATACTACATCTGCCTAGTGAATAAGAAATTTCTAGAAGTATTACTTTTCGCTTAGTCAAAACCAAAACATTGCAGCCTGTCAGATAATCATAGAATGCATATATTTATTATGGTTTTCTTTCTCTATAATAATGAGCTATAAATAAAGTAGAGGTGACTGTAATTAACCAAAGGTTGTGATGGAAAGAATTCAAATTTGTTTGCTTCAAATGAACCAGTACGTACTGTTAGTATACAAGATAGCCCTTTCTATTATTTTTAGCAAAATGGATTTCTTGCTGGGATAAGTGCTGCAATTGTAAATTTTAGATGAAAAGTGATTCTGCCAAAGCAGTGGGAAGTTTTTATTTAAGCAGCAGAGCAGCTCTCTTATAGCTGTTATAAATACTCAGAGATATGATAATAAGGATCAGCTTTAAAAATAAATTACGGCAAATTATTTCTTCTATACATTGGGGTCAGAGAACATGCTAACAAACTTGGAAACAAGCTTTGTTCAAATCAGTGGTACATAAATCCAAGTAAATGTGCTCAGAGGTTTTGCATAAAAGCTCTTCTACAAGAGACTGTCTTTAGTCTCAGCTGATATGTACAAGGATCAGGCCATCACAGAAGTATATTACTATCAGGTCACATCTACAGGACACATATGAAGTACTACTATGGCAATTTAACAGGCAGGGCTTTTCTGGAAGAATCGCAGGAACTGCAGTTTGTTAAGAGTGCTGAGAGTCGTTAGAAGAGCCCCCTCAGAAAGCCACAATTCCTAGCATCCTTAACAAACTACAGTTCCCAGGATTCTTTGGGGAAACCCATTACTGTTAAAGTAGTATAAGAGTGCCTTAAATGCAATTGAAGAACAAAAATATGACTATACTCTTATTGAAATATCAGTGGGAGGGCTCTGCCTCAGTGTTCCTGTGATACTGATTAAAATATCTGACTATTGTTTTATTGAGTTTCCAGTAAACACCACCATTTCACAAAATCACATTAATGCAATATATTAATCAGTGGTGAATTTGAGGCCTGGCAAACCCACAGCCAGCCAAGGCCAATAGTGAAACTAGCCAGTCGTGTGGGAAAGGAACCTCACAACCACCACCCTGGGTCCCCTGTGGCTGTATCGGGCTGCAACTGCTGCTGCCACCAAAGGGGCAATCAGTCTTAGTCTTTGCAGGGCAAGAATCTAAGAAAGGGAGGAATTTGAAACAGACATTGGATTCCATTGTAATTTATGGCTGAATGATGTACCATGCATCCACACAAAACAGGGGAGGGGAGGGGAGGAGGAGGAAAAAGGAAGAATGTTTCATTGATGATCCCTTTCCAGGAGTATTTCAAGGAAAAATGTTTAGTGGATTGTGGCCTGAAAATTATATTGCATGCATTTCTGGAGAAGAACTCTTGCATGGCCAAGTGCAAACCGTTCAGATTTCATTTTGGAATTTGCATTTTTAAAAAACACATAATAGATGCAATTTGAAAATAAAATCATGATGGATCTAGCATATTCATTTGTTACAAGTGTGTAACAAAAACTGAAAGTAACGTGATCAAAGAGGAGCATAGGTTTTATCTCAACATCATTCTCATTCTCTCTCTCTCTCTTTGAATTTAACATCAGTGCTGGACAACAAGTATTTTAAAAATTACATACACTTAAGCACATAAACATGTTCAACACTTGTCTCCCTGCTCTGAAAAAATGTGGTAATTCAATTAATTACCAGTTTGGTGGAATTACAAGCTTTTGATGCTATTACTTTTTTAAAAAAAAACACCTAACCTCAACACACAATGTATTCAATTGCAAATTACTTAGAACAAGCTCAGTCAAGGAACTCAAACTAAATGTAATTTGGGATGCTCAGTTTAAAAAGAGCTCCAGGTTCCTTTTTTCTTGTTATTTTTATACTAGCTTTCTAAGCTATGACATAAATAATACCCTTCCTCTCCCCCATACTGTTCTGTTAATTTAAAATATTCATTAAAAAAACGCATTTCACTCTGTTCTCTACTTTTTTGATGCTTATTTTTCATCTCTGTATTTTAATTTCATATTGTGCTATTGATCCACTTTTCAATTTTATCAATAAAGTGCTATTCTAACAGCAGCATTTTAAAAGTTATAACCTCTAATGTTATAGTACAGAGCATTCTAAACACAGTTCAGTCGCTATCCCATTCTGTTAGAAATTTAGATAGATAAAGAATATGATCTAGGCAGAGTTAAGAACTTGGAAGTCCCGCTGACTTTGACAGCATAACTCACCCACTGAAATTGCTGGGACTTGAACTGTATTTAGCCCATAGCTTGTTTTTCTGTAACCGCTTTGATGTAATAGATAATATCTAGGTTTAAGGGCTTGCCGGAGTGTGTGACGGGTTGGGGTATGGGGTAGGGAGGCACCTGCAAGTCCTGCCCTCAATATCCCCTGGCACACCAGCTATGGTTTGGATTTTGCAAGATTAGCACAAAGGGGTCTTTAAAATGTGTTTTATTAAACACATTTAGACAGGGCCGTTTTAAGCATATGTGGAGCCGGGGTGAAAAAACCCAAGATTGTCGACCTTCTTTTTAGGGGGGGGGCAAACTTTTTTACTTTTTTAGGGCAGGCCACCAGGGCATGCACAGCAGAGCTGACCTGGCCAGCTGCCTCAGCAGCAACAGAGGAGCCTGAGGCAGCAGTGGCAACAGAGCAAGGCCGGAGCCGGGTGCTGGGATGCTGGGCAAGCAGAGTCCAGAGCAACAACAGTTGAGCCTGAGGTGGCGGTGGCGACTGAGCAAAGCTGGGCACCTTGTGTGAGCAGTGTGCACTGGGCGGGCCTCTTGATGGCCCACCAATCCCAGGCGTACAGGGGGGTGGAGCCAGCCGGCTGCCTCGGCACCTCATTCACCTGCAGCAGAAGAGCTGTGATGCTCCAATGGCCTCCTCTCCGCTCGGCAACGGCTGTCGGTTCTTCCCAGTCCCCGGACTCCAAATCTTGGCCCTGGACTCTTGACCTGGAACCCCTGAGATCCCGGCGCCCGGGTGCCCCGCACCCCTAGCGCCTATGGGTAAGACGGCCCTGCATTTAGAAATTCTAATGCAATAGGGTTTCGCTTGTGGAGATATTTCTAAGTTCCTTTAGTTGAATACACTTTAAACAACAACAATAGCAACAACGACAACCTTCAAACCTTTGCACTAATTGCATGAAGATCTGAAGAGCAGTGGTGTGCCCACGAATATTCAAGAAGAGCCCTACTGAATTGAACCAAATGTCTATCAATGCAGCATCCTGTCTTATACAGTGGCCAGTCAGATACCTGATATTTGTAGGAATGGTACCTCTGGTCCTGCAGGTACCATGTAGCATGTAGCAATATTATACCTCATTATGTTCCACTTCCCTTTCTTGACTTTCCTATATATACACACACATATAAATAGTGTTGCTCTCCAAAAAGGCTCCACCTGTGTTCTTTCTCACCATGGTCTTTTGACCAACTATCATGCCCTACTGTACATTTTATGGGAGCCAACATGGTAGCCTCCAGATGCAGCTGATGGGAATTGGAATCTAGCAATATTCTGTTACATGCACTAGAAAGCCGTGATTGGCCATAGGCTCCCAGGATAAAACAACACTTTGTGATGAAATATCTAAAGCATATTAAATATTAATTACCGTATTTTTCGCACCATAGGACGCAGTTTTTCCATCTTAAAAACTAAGGGGAAAAGTCTGTGCATCCTATGGAGCGAATGCAGGGGGGAGGCAGGCAGAAAAAGCCCCCAAGAGCCACACACAAGCTTCGTGCGGCTCTTGCAGGCTTTTCCCCAGGAGGGAGAAGGGACTGACGTGGTCAGTCAGTCCCTTCTCCCTCCTCTAGAAAAGCCTTGCGCAATCTCTCCAGCCATGGGAGGCTGAGCAAGGCTAAAGACGAAGCCCGGGCAGCGAGCGTGATCCATCCCCTCACTGCCCGGGCTTCCTCCTTAGCCTTCCGCGCCTCTCCAGCTGCCCGGGCTTCCTCTTTAGCTTTGTGCACCTCTCCAGCCGTGGGAGGCTGAGCAAGGCTAAAGAGGAAGCCCGGGCAGCGAGCGCGATCCATCCCCTCGCTGCCCGGGCTTCCTCCTTAGCCTTGCGCGCCTCTCCAGCCGCGGGAGGCTGAGCAAGGCTAAAGAGGAAGCCCGGGCAGCGAGCGCGATCCATCCCCTCGCTGCCCGGGCTTCCTCCTTAGCCCTGCGCGCCTCTCCAGCCGCGGGAGGCTGAGCAAGGCTAAAGAGGAAGCCCAGGCAGCGAGCGCGATCCATCCCGCTGGCTGCCCGGGCTTCCTCTTTAGCTTTGCGCGCCTCTCCAGCCGTGGGAGGCTGAGCAAGGCTAAAGACGAAGCCCGGGCAGCGAGCGCGATCCATCCCGCTCGCTGCCCGGGCTTCCTCCTTAGCCCTGCACGCCTCTCCAGCCGCGGGAGGCTGAGCAAGGCTAAAGAGGAAACCCGGGTAGCGAGCGCGATCCATCCCCTCGCTGCCCGGGCTTCCTCCTTAGCCTTTCACCTCTTCAGTCGTGGGAGGCTGTGCAAGGCTAAAGAAGCCAACTTTTAAAAAATCTCTCTATCTCTACCTCTTTTTCTTTTTTCGTCCTTTCTCCACCCCTTCTTTTCCTCTGGATCAGTGTTTTTATCTAGATTAACGTTTTAGTTTTGGGGGGGAATATTATAAAAAAGGAAACTTTGCAGCTTTTATTTTAGTATACAATAAAAACAGATTAAACAAAACACAAAAGAAGGAAATAGCACAGAAGAAGAAGAGAAAATGGAAAGCCATTTACCAGAGGTAGATCTTAACCCTTGCCTCACCTGGGAGCTTCTCTGGGCAGGAATTCCCTCGGCTTAAGTGGGGTGGAGGGAGAGTGGCAGGTAGGGGGGTATCTACCTAGACACTGAAGCCACATGTCTCTCCAATGAAAATTGGGAGAGGGCATTGTGTGAAGTGGCTGTGGATCTCCTGCCGCAGATGTGTAGGACTGTATAGAGTTGGGAGGGCCACCTGAGGGTCATCTAGCCCAGCCCCCTCACAATGTAGGAATTACAGCTAAAGAATGCCAGGCAGATGGTCCCCCAACTGCTGCTTAAAAGCCTCTTGTGGTGGAGACCCCCAACACCTTCCAAGGTCATAGAATTGCAGGGTTGGAAGGGAACCCCAGGAGTCATCTAGTCCAGCCCCGGTGGACAGCGGGCACGATCCATCCCGTTGCGCAAGGCTAAAGATGCTGCTTAAGGCTAAAGAGGAAGCAAAGGCAGTGAGCGGGATGGATCTCGCTCGCTGCCTTGTCTTCTTCTTTAGCTGCGCTGGAGAGGTTTAGCGGCTATGGATCCCGCTTGCTGTCTTGGCTTCTTTGCTCTTTGGGGCTGCGGGGGAAGCCCCAAGAAGCTCTGGGAGAAGTGGACAGGCTGCACACAGCCTGTCCCTTGCTCTTTGGGGCTGGGGGGGTGGAATAATATTTTTTCCCTTGATTTCCCCCTCTAAAAACTAGGTGCGTCCTGTGGTCCGGTGCGTCCAATAGAGCGAAAAATACGGTATTTTGCTATCTTTGTTTTCTGCTACTCCAATGAAGTAGCTCCAGCGTGGCTTAGATATTGTTCTGGCTTTCGCTCTGGCAAGTCATCTGTGTCATTTGCCCACAGATCATTCTCTGGACAATGTCACAAATGTGTGAGGTTTCATGCCTTCCAAAGAGAAAAAGAGACACATGTAATGCAGGCATTATAGCACAATCTGAAACATATATTCTCAGAAGTAAGTCCTACTGAGTTCAATGGGACTTACTCCAGGTAAGTGAGGATAGGATTGCAGCCCTAGTCTCTTGATAACAGAATCTAATCAGAAATAGAGGCTAATTTTAAAAGTTTGCAGTTTTCAAATCCACACCTCATGCTGAGGGATTTACAGTAATTCCATGAAATGGTACTGGATGGTTCCTTATAGTAAAATTCATTATTTCAATTATGGTAGAGAATTGCTGCAAGACACTTTGCAGATTGTATCTCCCCTATACTTAATAACAGAGAGAAAAACACTGTGAATGCACTCTTAATCTGCCTAGCAAGCAGAGCCAGTCTGCAACGTTAGCTGAATAGAAATATTTTGGATTAACATGGTGTTCAGTATCCAGCTGTTGTCAGTGTAAAATCTTTCACTGAAACTAAAAATGATCACATGCCAAATATTACCCCCTTTCAAGAAAAATGAAATATTTGATGATGGTGATGCTGATGATAATTTATACCCTACCTTTTTCTCTAATAAGGGCTCAAGGCACCTTATAGATTAAATAAGAACTAAAAACATAGGAAGGAAAAACCTATCATTTATATTGTTACTAAAGTTGGGTGTTTGCCCCTCTCTCTGCTGAGTGGTGGCAAGAGCTCATGGGGTCCCAGGCACACCCACAGGTTCTATGTCCCTTTGGACAATAGAAGACACAGTAGAGACTGAGGTGCTTTAAGAAATATGGTTTATTCACCTATTTACACCTTCAGTCTGCATGGAGGGAGTCAAGATCTTATGGCATGCTCAGTTCAAGAGGCAGGAGCACAGGCACCTTCTGCCTCCCTCTCCAAGATGGATCTCTCCCCTCTTCCTCTTCCTCCTCCTTCTTCTCAGAAACCCCTTGCCCTCCCCCACAGCAGTTCCCCTGCCAACCTCCCTAATCCCCAGTCTCTGTTCACACCTGGGGGCTAGAAGGAAGTTCTCTTGTATTGTTAATGACCCTCTATTGTTCTTGTTAGCCGTAGCTCGGCCAGATTTGTTTGCATAAGTCAGTCCATGAATTCCCTGTCTGGCAGAACTCTGCAGTTTATGTTTTAATCCATATCCCAATTAACCACAATCCTAGCATTTCTTCATTCCTAGGGTTTAGGGAGAATCCCCACCCCCAATCTATAACTATAACAATATTTACACTGGGTTTTTGTTTTTTTTTACCCTCTTGGATAACAATTTTAAAAGAAAATATATGTTTGCCTCTGAAGGCCATCAATTATTTTCATTTAGAATCATAGAGCAGGAAGGCAGCTTACAAAGTCATCCAGCCCAACCCCTTATGCAATGCAGGATCCACAGTGCGGGATGTAACTACAGCATCCCTGACATACTGCTTAACAACTTCCATCAAAGGAAAATCCTACCACTACCACTACTTGGATCATTTTCTCTTCAGCCTAAACACCAGCAGCAGTCACTGGGACAGTGTGGTGGTGCTTACCTAACCTCTGATCATTGGCATCCCTGCAGCATACTGGGAGAGAGGGATAAGGATGTGCTGAAGTCAGAGTGCTGCAAAAGCACTGGTGGAGTCAATCAGGCATTCCTGCAGGGGCATTTGCACTGTGCTGGCCTCACTGCTGCCTCCCCTCTCAGTATGTCACAATGTGCTGGTGATGGGAGGTCAGGCAAGTGCCACTGCCCTGTCCCACCAATCACTGCTGCTGAATACTCATTACTACACATTTAAATCACTCCAGTATTTGAAATGACCTCAATGTTGTCTAGCATACTTAAAACTACAGTAATTCTGGACATATACTTGTGTAAGCTATTTTTGTTTGGTGGGTCTTACCATATTTAGCCCACAATTCAAGGTTGTGCAAGAGCTCCACAACCACAAAAGTGTTTTGTGGAGTTTTCTTTCTCTGCTTCCACAGAGACACCAGATTACTTTAAACTCTGCTGTGTCCCAAAAGCAGATTGGTGGATTTGTCACTTGAACAGTTTAAAGGGAAAACCTGGGACAAATTCCTTAGCAGATATTGGTGCCCGTTTCACTTTAAACAATATTTGAAGCTATAATCTGGAAAGGAATTTCACTGCTGTTCCCTGATTGACTAAACATCCTGCTTTGCGTTTCTTGAATTTGTGCAATTTGACAATTTGAAGTGAGACACCAGGACATGAAATTATGTGCGAATGAAGCATAAGATTCAGCAAATTCAGTTATAAAAAAAAGCTACACCAAACCACTGAATTTTGCATAGACATAGCAATTTTGTATTATTAGAGGAGGAAGAGAAATGTTGCTATTCCTGCACTTTTCAGAAAATAATATGGATAGATTTCTGGAATACTGATGTAGCTGTCATTTTTGATATATCCATATCTGTTGAGTAGAGATTCTCCCAGCTATGGTCACCCAATGTGACAATTTCAATAGAGTGTCAAAAGGAAACAAAGACTTTTAATCCCCATCCACACAGGCAGAGTTCATTCACATAGATCCTACAAATAAACCAAATGCCACTCAAATAATTGTAAGCATATCGCCAAACTCAAAATCCATTTGCATCAGTGAAGTGGAAAGATGCATTTTGCTTATTTGTTCATTTTGAACAATCTGATAACATCTTCCTCTCCACATTCCTACCCCCCACTCTACCCTGCATCAGTTCTTATTGAAGATGTGAAATATTTTAAATGTGAACAAAAACCAGTTTACTGAATTGCTGACACAGTAGTTTTGAAAATGGTGGATAAGAAATAAACATGGATAACATATTTCTTTAAAAAAAATATGTTCTATTTCCTTGAATTGTATGATATGACAGCAACAGCAAAAGACAATTTTTACAGTGAAGGTTCGGTTTAGAACTAATTATAATTTGAATTCTTGTGTTTAAACTGTTTTCAATAACAGAATTACTAAACATACATATTTACAGATAAAGGCTTGAGCTACAGTTGCTCTGCTCATGGGATGCTCTTGCTGGGTGGCAATTTTTCTCTGTACAGCATTACATTTCCATGGGTGGAAATGAATTTTGCAATGTTGTTCTCTCACCAGTCCACGTGTACAGAAATGCATATACTAAAGTGTGTGTCTACATGTATGCATTAGTGCAAAAAACATACAAAATGTGTTACATTAGGGAAACATAAATTTTAGGGAAGATGTGCTTTGCAAAAATGTGTATAGTAGGCGAATGTGTATACAAAAATGTATATCTTATGACAAATTTGCATTAAAAAGATGATGAAATTTCATGAGATAAGGACTTTAAAAATAAAGATATATCATAAATGGGTGAGGAAATGGGATAACTGAACTTAAGGAACAGAAACTGAGAGTAACAAAAATACACACAATGACCCATCACTACTTGGAGGTAATCCATCGGCAAAACCACAAGGACCACCTCTCCTCATATGAACCGGCCTGGACCCTGTGATCATCATCTAAGGCCTTGAAGGCAGCAACATGAGAATGGGCATTTTTTGCAGGGACTCTTCGCTTGTGGAGGGTTGCCTGGCACCTTCGCTACATATATTTTGACGCCAGGCAAAAACATTCCTCTTCTCCCAGGCCTTTAGCTAATTAAACAATCTGTGGTCTTTTATTGTTTTCGTTTGCTACTGTGGTATGTGTTTTTATATTGCAAACCCCCCTGCGATCCTTGGCTGAAGGGAGGTATATGCTGAGATTAGAAATGCAAGGAGAGAACATTCTAAAAGCATATAAATATAAAAACTTTAAGAGTAACAAATCAACAGGGCAAAAATTATGGGTCAAATTGCTATGGTCACTTTCCTGGAAGTGAATTGCACAATCCCAAGAAAGTTAAGTGTGCCAAACTTAGAAATCAATGGGACTTAAAGGCTTAACTGTTTCTTTTAAAGCCCATTGATTTTAATGGAATATAAGTATAGCCAACATTTTTCTTTTTCTTTTTTTTCTTTTTTCTTTTTTTCTTTTTCTTTTTTTTCTGCTTGTTCCCAAAGTGTTTGGAGTCAGGGAGAAAAAGAGTCTTGCTCCTCAGCTTTCAGCAGACCTTATGAATTCATTTTATGCTAATTAGTCTGAGTCCATGAAAGCTAAAGCAAAGAGTCATTATTTGGGTAGTCCCTGGAAATTTAACCCCATTGTGGGAAACTGGAACTAAAGTCCTATTTGGATTGTTGGATTTATGAAGAGCAGAGGCAAGTCAAGATTTGTTGCGTTGAAAAAAGGGAATTCTTTATATAATCCTTCCAATTTTGTCCTCACATCACCCCTATGAGGTAGGTGATCCTTATCACATCAATTGGCACAGAAATAGTTTTTAAAAATAAATTATAGGAAGATCAGATAAAAACAAAATTAGAAGCAGAAGGGGGAAGAAACAGATGGGGGAATTGTGTTTATTTCTTTAAAAACAGACATGTTTATTTTTTTGTAATATGCTTTGGGTTTATTTTATATAAAAAATGGGGTATAAATGTTTAAATAAATAAATATTTAGAAAGTTATTTAGTCAAGTTCAAGTTTCCTTTTCTTAATTGCAACCACTTATTCCTTCCTGTTATAACAACCATTAATATTACTACTGTTAACATCAACACATTACTCATGTGCTTTGATTATTAATATGGAAATGTTACCCAATAGTGTTTGTCTATTGGGACAATAGACTAAAGCCTAAAGCTATCGGTGTCTCTGGAAGAATTTTTCATTCTAAGTCATTTGTTTTTGCTTTTGTAGTAGCTGACCTATCTCAAATCTGTCCCTGTTTATACAAAAACAAAAGATGCCAAAAGTGAAAGACAATGTTCCTGATGAAGTCATCGCCTGAACCAGGTGTACAGAGAAAGAAGCAATTATTTCTTCGATTCTCATAACTTAATGTTCTTGTGTATACAGCCTCAAATTACATTGGCCTTTTTTCTTCACCACCATATCCAGCTACAAATGGATGTGTCTAATTGGCCATCCGCTATTAACAGAATTACGACTTTTGTTTCTGGGGTTTTGTTTCCTGCTGAGAGTGTGCATTTGTTTGTTTGTGTGTGTTTCAGCTTATCATTTCAGAGATGCACTAGCTTGCATTTTATCCAAGCTGAATTTCATATTTTTTTCTGCCCATGTTGCTAATTTTCTAGTTTTGTTTTTGTGTTCTTTCTCAGTCCTCACTCGTGTACATTGTACACCATAATCTATTGTCAGCAGATTTCCTAAGGTGAAAATGTTTACTCTTTTCTCCCCACCCTTTATGTTACCACAATATATATGTTTCAAGAGAAAAGAGCTGATACTGATCTTTGCAGCTCCTGTTCTTATCAGAATTGTATAGCTGACATTTAAAAACTGCCTTTCAGCTGTTGGCAGAGGTAGCCCTCCCTTCCATGTATTTCACTTGATATTATATGGGCTGGTAGCCCAGAGATGAGAAGCCAGTCACAGTTTGGCCTGTACCTGCTCAACACGTTACTCACTCTGAGGTAAACCTGAACCAAAATTTCTCATAAGACATTTGTCAGAGAAAATTTTTCAGATTTCTGTTTGTGTCATACCCAACTGAACCGCCTGAAAAAGAAAACCACTTTGCATAATTTTCTGTAAGTATTCTGGGTTTTTTTTGTAGTAGTAGCAGCAGCTGTTTCCCTCCCTGCCCCCTCCCACAAAAATTCACACACAGAAAGCATTAGAATGGCACTACATCTAGAGCATTATGGAGGATGCAAAAAGGCAGGCAGGCTGCCCAGTGCCTGCTGTGGCTACATGCCATGACAATTAAAGAAAGAACTTGGGAGGGGGGTAGCAAGAAGCTCTGGTAACCCACCCCTTAGAAAATGTTGGAGAAATTCAGTGGAATGCTCAGCACTCCCTCCCCCCTCCGACAAATATGGTGGAAATTTTGGAAAATAATTTTGTGCAGTTCTAGTTTGAGAAGCCAACCACTTTATAGAGCCTCACTGGTAATCTATTGGTTCTTTGTGTTACCTGTTCCTTTGTGTTGTATTCCCCAACCATTCACAGCACGTGAGATGAGGTCAGCATTTCCCTCCCCTTGGAAGCTGCTGCGGTACCTCAGCCTTGCTGCCATAGCTCCTGAGTTGAAGCCTCTTAGAAATATATATTGTTGTTGTTGTTTAGTCGTTTAGTCGTGTCCGACTCTTCGTGACCCCATGGACCAGAGCATGCCAGGCACTCCTGTCTTCCACTGTCTCCCGCAGTTTAGTCAAACTCATGCAGGTAGCTTCAAGAAAACTATCCAACCATCTCGTCCTCTGTCGTCCCCTTCTCCTTGTGCCCTCCATCTTCCCCAACATCAGGGCCTTTTCCAGGGAGTCTTCTCTTCTCATGAGGTAGCCAAAGTATTGGAGCCTCAGCTTCACGATCTGTCCTTCCAGTGAGCACTCAGGACTGATTTCCTTAAGAATGGAGAGGTTTGATCTTCTTGCAGTCCCTGGGACTCTCAAGAGTCTCCTCCAGCACCATAATTCAAAAGCATCAATTCTTTGGTGATCAGCCTTCTTTATGGTCCAGCTCTCACTTCCATACATCACTACTGGGAAAACCATGGCTTTAACTATACGGACCTTTGTTGGCAAGGTGATGTCTCTGCTTTTTAAGATGCTGTCTAGGTTTGTCATTGCTTTTCTCCCAAGAAGCAGGCGTCTTTTAATTTTGTGGCTGCTGTCACCATCTGCAGTGATCATGGAGCCCAAGAAAGTAAAATCTCTCACTGACTCCATTTCTTCTCCTTCTATTTGCCAGGAGGTGATGGGCCCAGTGGGCCATGATCTTCATTTTTTTTGATGTTGATCTTCAGACCATATTTTGCGCTCTCCTCTTTCACCCTCATTATATATTACCCTCAATATATATTATACAGTGGTACCTCGCAAGACGAATGCCTCGCAAGACAAAAAACTCCCTAGACGAAAGGGTTTTTTGTTTTTTGAGCTGCTTCGCAAGACGATTTTCCCTATGGGCTTGCTTCGCAAGACGGAAACGTCTTGCAAGTTTGTTTCCTTTTTCTTAACACCGTTAATACAGTTGCAACTTGACTTCGAGGAGCAATTCATAGAACGCGGTGTGGTAGCCTTTTTTGAGGTTTTTAAAGACTTTGGTGATTTTCGAAGCTTTTCCAAAACTTTCCCGACCCCGTGCTTCGCAAGACGAAAAAAATTGCAAGACAACAAAACTCGCGGAACGAATTAATTTCGTCTTGCGAGGCACCACTGTATAGGCCTTAATACTTTCAACATGTACAGCTATATTGCCTTTTTTAATTTATTTTTTTAAAAGCAATAACACTACTAGAAGAGCAGACTATATACAGTAGAGGTGTATTAAATTTGAAAATTTAAGAAGAAATACTGTCACTTTCCATTTCTTCTCACCTTGCCCCTCCAAAACACCCACCTCTTGCTCTGACCTTCATTTCTGCTTTACCTTTGACCACTCTAGCCCCTTTCAGTCATTCTGCAACTGAGTTCAATGAGAGAAGATTGTTTTCATATATGTTTTCATATATGTATCATCTGAACTTGGGGATTATATTCAGATCACTTCAGGTCTATTTTTAGAAGAAACTGAACAAACCTTCAATTAGCAGAAGGATTGAGAATAAATGATGCTGATTTCTTTCAACGCCTCATTTCAAAAATTATGTGTGCACCTAGAGATTTTACCTTTTGTGGCAATGACAAATAATTTTGCTTATTTATTAATAAAAATATAAATAACCTGTTCCATTGAATTGGCCCAAAGTAGGGTGCATCAGTCAGGTAAAAGAAATTTATATTGCCACTGAAGGTTCATTAACCTTTCTGCTCTTTTCCATTTCTTTCAGTTATACCTTCCATCTGTGATAGACGTAGAGGAAAGGCTTAAGTGATTATTGTTTCAAATATTTTAGGTAAATCTCTCTCACACAAAAGCTTATGATAACTCCAGGGAAGATTAGGGAAAGGGTTCTTGTATGTGTTTAGTGCAGGCATGTTTCAAGATGTCCACTGCATCCTCTTAATCCACTAATGTTATAATCCTATTAAAATCAAGTCATCTTAGATTTATTTCTTATGAAACATGCTGTTCTGTGCTGGCATTCTGAAGGTGAACTGTGGCCCATGCAGAGAATTACAGAGCCAGCCTAAGACCTCTGGCCTACATAAATTTCGCCAAAGCCCTCGCAGCGCAGGCAAGCAGGATATTAATGGTGCACATTTTGTGTGACACAGAGATTAAGCATATCCTTCATATGATTTTTTAAAAGAAATATATATAATTGGTTTGCATTTCATCACTATTATAGGGTCAGTGGGTACCTGAAAGCCAGCCATATTCTTATACATGTAAATTGTTCAGGGAACATGTGTTTTCAGGCAGTCAACAAGAGTTTGATGGGCATACGGTACTAAAAAGACATGATCAATATTGGATATATCAGTTGTACCTAATGACTGTGAGTTTGTAAACACGTTTCCCCTCCCTAAACTATTGCCAGAGGCAGCAAAATACAATGGGTTGTATCCAAAGAAGTTGTTCCACTAGCGCAAAGTCTTACCACAAGACTTACTATCCCTCTCCTCTCCCCTCATGCCCTCTGCATCCACAATTTTGTTCTGAGCTTTCTCTCGGCCCTCTGGAGCAGAGTGGGATAATACATGTGGAGAGGAGATGGAGAGGAAGATCTCTTGCACAGGTAGAGGTCTTTGAGTGACTGAAAAAGACTTTGTTGGGTAGAACCCCAACATCATTGAGCTGCAAACCAGAAAACCTCCATTTCATATAAAGTCATACTTAGAGTGGACCCATTGAAATCAATGGGCTGGATTCAACTAAACTTGGTGAGCAAGGAGAGCCAGTCAAAGGATTCCCACTACAGAAGAACATAAGAAAAACCTGATGGACCAGACCAATGGCCCATCTAGTTCAGCATCCTTTTCTCACAGTGGCCAGCCACTATGGGAAGCCTGCAAGCTGGACATGAGTGCAACAGTCCTCTGCTAGCACAACAGGGAATTCTACTCCCCTCAATCTTCTCCCAGATTCATTCTAGAGGATTGGGAGAACTCCCAGAACAAGGGGGGGGGCAAGAAGAAGGGAGATCATTTTGTCTGGCAAATAGAAATGATTGTGCTGATGGAACAATCCTATTAATCGGCTATTGAATTCCACCCAATGTACTTACATTACTAATATTCACTTATTTCAGTAGCTCTATTATGAGTATGACTGACACTAGGCATCACGCAAAGAATCTCTTTCATGCAGAGAAGCAAAACATGCACACCATGGTGCTCAATAAATCTCTAGTGTAGACTATGAGGCAGACTATGATCTGTAGTGTAGACTATGATCCTAAGCACACATACTTGGGAGTAAGCTTCATGGAATACAATGGAAATTGCTTCTGAAATATTGCAGGGCCCTCCAAGTGGTGTTAGAATACAGCTCCCTGACTGTTGGTCATGTTGCCTCAGGTTGATGATAGTTGGAGTTCAATAACATCCTGAGAGCCACATGTTAAGGTAAAGGTAAAGGTACCCCTGCACGTACGGGCCAGTCTTGCCAGACTCTAGGGTTGTGCGCTCATCTCACTCTATAGGCCGGGAGCCAGCGCTGTCCATAGACACTTCTGGGTCACGTGGCCAGCGTGACAAGCTGCATCTGGCGAGCCAGCGCAGAACACGGAACGCCGTTTACCTTCCCGCTGGTAAGCGGTCCCTATTTATCTACTTGAACCCGGGGGGTGCTTTCGAACTGCTAGGTTGGCAGGCGCTGGGACCGAACGACGGGAGCGCACCCCACCGTGGGGATTCGAACCGCCGACCATGCGATCGGCAAGTCCTAGGTGCTGAGGTTTTACCCACAGCGCCACCCGCGTCCCTCCGAGCCACATGTTAGCTACCCCCAAATGTTTAAGTGTGCACTGTTATATTATTTTTCTATTTCCCATGCATATACAAATGAAGAAAATTATGTATAATCTCTTTAAAATGAATTTCATAACTCATCTTTTAGATTCCATCACACATTTAAACTTGTGTGAGCAAGGTATTATTATCTTAGCAAAAGGAGCCCTCCTGGATTCCAGCTGAGAATTAAAAAGGAAGACTAAGTGCAGACTATGCTAAAATATAATTCCTTCTCTAGTGTTATTTTCCTAAAATATAGAGGCCACAACAAAGCAGCAGCATCTTAATCCGATTTTTCACAGGAGTTATCCATAAGTCTCCAGGCTGAGTAAGTAGAATATCTCATACTTTTTGGCTCAGAAAATCCCTTTCTTCAGGATCACAAGGACTGACCTTTCTATTTGTCACTGGAAGTACATGGACATTAAGAAGGACTGTGTCAGGAAAGGAGAACAGAAGAGGCTGTATGGAGTTCAGAACAGTCTGCAAAAAGAAACGTCTGACAACTACCCAATTTTGACCCAATTTCTCCTTTTCCCTAGGTAGCCAGAAATATGCAATACGTGTCAGTCCTATTCCCAGTAAAGTGAAGTTCCCCCAAAGTCTAATATTGTATTTTCCATTACAAAACTACACCGGACAACCTTTTTTTAGTGCTTGAGTAAGCGCTATAGTGCTTACCTTCTTGACAATGAATGCTTAAAAGAGAAAGGCCCCAGATGGCAAAATGCAGGAAGATGTGGTTAAAATGTGAATAGAAGTTTAATTTACCTAACTAAGCCTACTCATGGTCTTTTAAATTGTAGTATCTGAGACAAGATGTGCATCTGAGTTTCATCTCTCTCAGGACAGAATGGACGACTGATTGCTTGGGCATTTTTCTGTATTTGGATTGTCCTGTCCATTCTGAAAGAATGCTGATAGATGGCTTTTGTGAAGATAGGTAGGTGAAGAACAGCTGGGCTATGGAATACAACATCTGGAAAACGAGTCCCCATAAACATGCTATGGCGATGAATCACACGAGTCATAATTGAAATATCTATTGTTAAAACCACCAGTACACAATCCCTTTACACGTCACACACTTACCTGGGATTAAGTGCTACGGAAATCAGTACTATTTCTGAGGATATGCATGGGTTTGCACTGTATGTTAAAAGCTGGTCTTTTAGGGAGGCAAACTTGTGACCCACTAAGTGAAATGCAGTCCACCAGCCATGTATTATGGCTTCTAAATACTTCCTTTTTTTCAATCTGCCCAGAATGGCAAAAAGACAGTAGCTATCAATCACCTGACAGGCAA